AACGCTAGTGGACAGGTGGACTTTTTTGAATTTAATACCGATGCATATATTCGATAAATTATAATGATTCATATATTTGTTATATTTTTTAAAAAATTGAAATCAATAACTGAATTTCGAAAAGAGTTAAAGTAGTAGTTTAAAGTTAATATACAATAAATGTACAGTACATAATATAAAAGATGAATAAAATATATGTCTTAAATATAAAGATTCAGAATTACACTAGCTAAAAACTTTTTTAAAAAATGTCATTTCTGTCTTTTCTAAATTAGCAAATTTCTATTTATACCTGAATAATTTACTAATTATTTTTTAAATGAAGTGTTTTAAATGAATACAGTTACAGTGATAAAGATTTCTGGTATGTTAATGTTTTTCTTTTTATTATTTTAGCTTGCATGCAAGTAAGCTCCGGAGTGAGCGCTATCTTTGGCCCTCAAGATCCTCTATTGGGTAGTCATATTCAGTCACTTTGCGACGCGTTAGATATACCTCACGTAGAGTGTCGACTTGACATGGAACCAGAAATAAAAGAATTCTCTATCAATCTTCATCCAAGCCCGAGAATATTAGGTAATTCCATCAGAGATCTAATAAGATATCTCAATTGGACCAAAGTTGCAGTCATCTACGAAGAAGACATGTGTAGGTACTTGTTTATTCTTATGAATTTAAATACTAATTTGGAAGATTTTCAATTTAATTAACCTACATTTCAGGAACTATATTATTTTATTCTTATATGTTTCATTTATTTTGGCAGTTATGTCAGTTCCGTTTACTTATAAATAAATAAAAAATTTACAGCCATTTATAGCCGAATTTTACTTTAAATTTCATTCCTTAAAATTTATTTATTTAATTCATTTAGCTTATCTAAATATCTTTTATGGCTGAAATATTTGTATTTCAGCATTAATCAGTCTTCAAGAATTACTTCGTCCGCCTTTACCTCGTGAATTACAAGTAATATTTCGTAAAAGCAACAAAGAAATGTTTCGACAAGTCCTAAGAGATATTAAAAGTAGGGGAATTTACAGCGTTATAGTCGATACGAAGCCGGACAGTCTGCCAGTTTTGCTTCAAGCTGTGAGTTTTCTTTCTAATTTTAAATTCCTCGTAGAATTATATATATTAGATCATACGTTATATTTATATTAATTTTGTCATTTTATATTAGTTATTAAATTACTTTAATGGAAGACGTTTGTACATTATTAACTTCTTANTTATTTATATCTTTTTTTGGTAAGAAAAATAACATGATTAATCTCACAAAATTTTATGATTTCGAAAAGTTTTTTTTAATTCTTATTCTTTATTGAAGTTAAGGATACTCAATCTTCAAATATCTCTTGATAGCGTGTCTCTTCGATATTTGATACTTGAAATGCCGTGTTATATTTTGAAGAATCTTACAAGATATTATAATGTAAAATATAATTGAATTAATGTACTCCTTCAACTATTCTTACCTCCAAATTAAGTTATACTATTTTAAAAGTAAATATCTAGTAAGCAGCTGTATTATTTCAAGTGGTATGTAAACTATCAATACTGAATTAAAAATAAATTAGAAGAACTCTTTCTAATATTTTTATTTGCATTTTTATAAAAGAAAAGTGTAAAGAAGTAATATATCTCATATGCTAAATCTATTGACAGTGTATAATTTTTGAATGTTTTCGTGTAGTCTATTTGATTTCTGATTGACTTCTTCAGTTCTATTTACAAAATTAATTTAAAAGTTTAGAAGAGAAAATTTTCCTTTTTAATTCACGTAAACATAAAATATATATAGAAACACATTTCCAAATTGTTAATTCATAAACCACTAATCATGTTATATTTAACAAAGTTATTTATTCAAATAACAATATAAAAACTTGGAAAATTTTGTAAATATTGAGTTGATTAAAATATTATTAACAAGAAATAAATATTCTGTAGATAAATCAAACATGCTTTATACGTGGCAGTGTCCGTAGGAAGAGACCTAAGGTAAAAACAATGTTTTCAGAATCAGAACTTTCAAACCGTAATGGTTTGAAGGCATTCTGTAAACATCGATTTTTCAAAGTGTCAATTCAAATTACTCCATTAATATCTTTTAAACTGTTCATATCGACTGTGTCTAAAAGATGCAATTGATTTTCAATTTTCAATTTTTTATCTTAAGGTCTTACAGACATTGCCACATATCTATTAGATTTATCTACAAAGAAAGTTTATGCAGAATCCTATTCTTGATGTCTTCCTTAGTTGGAGGACATCGAAAATATATCTTTTTCAAGTTAGTATGCATAGAAATAAGTTTGTCTATCATTTGCTTTAAAGTTGAACGTCGATGTCTGTATGTCAATTCAGTTGTACAAAAGCAACTACCTAAAATTTTTACAGAATTAAGTACTCAAAATGTCGAATATAGAGGATATCAAGTATTCAGTCGAAGGCGAAATGGAAAATCAGAACGGTCTTGCCGCTGAAGGCGAGAGAACAGATAGAGACATGCAAGTATTGGGATCATAGATCAGCAAGATTTCATATTTGAATTGTATATTGTAAACGTCAACAGTCATTGTATTATGTGACATGAACGAATACTGTAGCTGCTAGAAAGAATATAATAGAGGAACAGACACCCATTTTAGAAGAAGAAACTTCCGAATAATAAATATTCAAGAGCATTTACAAAAATTAAGTTTGCCTATTGCAGGCTGAAAATCTGAAGTACGTGATAACATAAAATCTATGTAACACACAAACAAACTTTAAAGAGGGTTCGAAGATGAATGTAAATAAGAAGAATCGTATTGAGAGTAAGAAGAATACATCGACGAAGAAGATACGCGTTCGGAAAAAAAGGCGAGTTCTGAACGTGATATACAGAAACATGCAGAAAAATCGCATCCTTTCTAAGTGTAGAAGTTTGACAAAAGACATTGACTTTAAGTAACGCAGACTCCCACATCTTTAATTATATACTTCTGTAAACGGCGTGCTTCAAGTAGAAAAGTAAATTTGCAAATTAGATTTTGCAGCATTGCGAATTGAAACAGTTGACGAATGTTACAAAGATATGTGAAAAAAATTATAAAGTTTGAGAAAAACTCACTACGTGGAATGTTCTCAAAAAAATGTTTTCGAAGTGACTTTAAACCAGAAGTGAAAAATGCTACAATATACAAATAAAAAATGAAAATGAAAGGCAAAAGTGTTCGCCAGTTTATCTACGGCTTGCAAGCGCCTTGCAGGAGCTTGCAAGCCAAGGCTGCTAATTTAATACATCATAGATGGTATTCAATATGAACAAGTGAATACATATCTTATATTCAGAGTCAACACTGCAGGAATTAAAAGAAATTTTCAAAATTTTTGAAAAAATGAAAAGTCGAGTAGGAATTAAGAAACAATGGAAAGGAAGCTACTAAATATTCCAAAAGTGGAAGACAGAGAGCAAAACGTTTTATTTCTCGTGCTGTAGTTGTTTTCGAGTTCACACTTGGCAAACGGGCCAATCTCATGGAGTTCTCCGGATTCTTTTACATGTCTAACACCTAAATAGGAATCAACTTCCTACATAAAGTACTCCCAGGAGGCCATCTCTTAGCAGATCGATCATGTGTTGCTTTGCCTTATCTCATCTATCTAATCAAACTCAATCGAACACGAAGTAGACAAAAACCCAAATAAAAGTAAAGGGGCTATATATTTCAAATTCAACCGATTTGAACAATATTCATCAATGTTTCATCAATAAGGATGAGAAAACTGAAAAAGACTCACAGTTTCCTATATTTCAGTTAAACTTGACAGGAACGCCTGATGTCAATAATGTCTGTTGTGATGCACTGATCAACAATAGAAATTATATGGTATTGTATGAGAAGTATTCAAGGATCGGCCATTTAATCTTACAGAAGACAATGCGTATGTTTACGAGAGTAGGAAGATTTGATATAAAACGACTGGAGTATTGATGTATAACATCAGCATTGGATTTGAGTTTGTCAAGTCAGAAATATCCGTTGTGCCAACTAAATATATATACCTGTATCAATAATTATTGAATAAGAACTACTGATAGATGCCGAAATTACTATTAGAAGAAACAAGACACATAAAATACCTGACAAATGAAATGGGTAAGCGTTCAAATAAAATATAAATGCAGTTAACCTCTCAAACAAACATGACATTAAGAGTAGTGACTGGAGTGAACCAAGAGTTATCAATTGTATCATTGCCCCGACGAAGTGAAAGTTAAAGAATCTTATAGAAGAGAAATTGAAGACCTTATCGCAAACTACGTACTTAAGAATGAAGTAAAACGAATATCGAGACCAAAATCAGAATAATATCAAATGTACCAGTCAGTTCTAAACATCGCAGAATAGTTCCGAAAAAAAGCTGATTTTGAATGAACAAATTAAGGAATGTCTTAACAATGGAATTATTCGATTCAGTGTTAGCTAATTTAGTAGCGAATGCTTCAAAGAAAGATTAATGTCGGAGTGTAATATTCGATTACGGTAGACTTAATATAAAGATCTAACGAGACATATTCCCTATCCCTGTTTTTGAATACTGTTTAGATTCACTTACTAATGCACATGCGTTTTTCTAGTGTTGTTTGGTTTAAAGAAAGGTTACTTCCATGTATAGTACATTAACTAAGAGGGCCCATCATTATCCAGCATTGTTTCCTCCCTAACTGCCTCTACAGTAGTACCTGTCGTCAAGGGTATTCGATAATGCACCTCAATCGTAACTCGTAATGGTTCAGACGAATTCATGAAGATACCGTTTGGGCTGTGCAACAGTCCAGGAAGATTTACGAGGCTCATTTAAGAAGTTTTAAGAGATCTGTATGTCAATTCAGTTGTACAAAAGCAACTACCTAAAATTTTTACAGAATTAAGTACTCAAAATGTTGAATATAGAGGATATCAAGTATTCAGTCGAAGGCGAAATGGAAAATCAGAACGGTCTTGCCGCCGAAGGCGAGAGAACAGATAGAGACATGCAAGTATTGGGATCATAGATCAGCAAGATTTCATATTTGAATTGTATATTGTAAACGTCAACAGTCAT